TTAACGGTTCGCCTGTTCTCAAGGAAATCGTAATATTCACGCGCATCCTCGAAATGATCAGATGTGTTACTTCTGAAAACACGTAAGTAAATGAATGACCCGCATTGTACACTGTAGCAACATACGTTTCTTGCGAAATCTTTTCACCGGCGCGCTTCTCGACACCAGCCTTGGTTCGTTGGAAGCAGATAATGTCTCCATCTTGCAATTCGGCAACCTTCAGCGACTGCTTGGGCTTGAGAGGTTCGATCATAGTAGGCTTAATCTCCTATTTTGAGTTAGTTACCGTCGGTCGTCCAACGCCAGTAGTTTTCTTACCTCCCAAAGCAGAAGCTTCTCCTCGGCAGGTAGCTTCTCGCCCCATCCCATTTTCTTCAGGATCATTGGTAGCAGTTCTTCGACTTTCTTGTCTTTGGAAATGTAGACATGGCCGACACCCCGTAGTGTCTGGGCGTCGATATCGAAGTGCTTAAGGAGAAGTAAGATGGTGTCATTCTTGACGATGACACCATTGGGCTGACTCTGGTAAGATGGCCAGATTGGCTCTCCGTCAGCATCGACTTCCTCGGCAACTTCAGCCCACACACGTAAACTAGCATCTCTGTGGGCAGCGGAACGGGAGAAAGTCTCGTCGACTGTAGGCCGCAGATCCATGATGGGTTGGTCAGGGCGAACCGTCTTATTCTGTCGATTGACCATGAGCCAAAGCCGTACCCTTCGTGGATCTTCGCCCATATCTGATGCAACTTGCGCAACAAACTCCTCCATGGTCATCGCGCGACGCACGCGGTAGAACTTTGGTGCAGCGGGATCCTCAGGCTTTGCATCAAATTGACATAAATCTGTGCCGCCAAATTGTTGAAACGAGTAATCAGTGATAACCTTAGCCCACATGTACAGATGCGCCTCTCGCTGTTCTTTCTTGCGGGCTTCCCGCTGAACAGTCTCTTCCTCAAATTTTTGCCCTACGGTGGTTAGCAAGGAGACAAAGGAAGACCGCCAAAATACTTACTGAGATGAAGCGGAATATGATCCTTGGTAACCGGACACAGGATATCATCTATACGAGATTGGCGGATATACACCAACATGTATGCGCTGTTTTGGCGCATAATGGGAGCCTTCTTTTGCACAGGCGCACGCGGGTAACCGTTGGATGTTTGATACTCTCCACCGAAATTCTCTTCCAACACTTCGCGCATCGTCGCCTTGGTGACCTTATCATCGTCGTACTTATAGAACCATCCGTCCTTTTCGGGCTTCAAAAACGCATAGTAATGACCTGCATTCAGATCACCACTGTGAACTAGAACGCTGTGAAGCTGATACGTCCATGGAACAGATTTGTCGGCATCCTCGGATAGATACGGCGCAGCATCAAAAAACTCGGGGAACTCATATCGATCATTGATCTTCATCATGGTGTCGCGCTGGATATCGTACTCAAAGCGCTTCAGCTGTAGGTGGAGTACGTCAGGAAAGCTGTTGAAAATGACACCTTTGTTCGCATCCTGGAGCTTGTACTGATCACCAGCAAAGTATTGGTTTTCTCCATCCATCTTTTCGACCTGAACGTAGTCCTCAAAACTCTCGAGCAGATGCTTGTTACCGCTGACATTCAGCTGAATGTCCCAAAAGTCCTCGATTCGGCTGGATTCATAGTCGACGTTGATACATGAGATGTATGTCTTGATCTTGCCACTGAACATTTCTGGCAGGACATTCTCCGATGCAGTTCCCTTCATCTTGTCTTCCATCCTCTCCATGAGCTTACGTGAAAACTCCTGCACGTCCTGTTGTTCGAAGATATGTCGCGTGTCCCAGCCGAAAGATTTCGTGAGCTCGGTGGTTCCAACTGCCTGGTCTGACGTTTGTAACTGGTAGAAAAGTCGTTGCAGTGTATAAGCACTGTTGGTCATACTGGGGTCGGCCTCCGTAGGAATTTCGTAGATAGCCTATAGAAGTCAGCTACTGGTATACAAGAGAACAGCTAAGAGATACTACCTTTCTGAACTTGTTTGTGAAATAGAGTGATTGCATCAAGGAATTCAGATAGCAGGTGGCACCCTGATTCTTGAGTCCAACATACCCTGTCTCCTTCTTGGAATCGTAGTTGGCGAAGTTGTGCCACAAAACACCCGTCTCATCCTCGACAAGGCGAAGATAGGCGGTGATGTTGGCAGTATCATTTTCGCAGAGGGGTCGGCTGCTGCCCTCCCATGGTACATTAAACATTCGGCGGTGCTCAACAAATCGAGTGAAACCCCAATCACCTTCTTCCTTCGTGAATCGATGGTGGGCAGTGTGATGGACATATAGGCTGGGGTCGTTCGGGTTCCATAGGACGAGCGCAAATTGAACACAGCAGCTCCAGTTATCGGGAACGCTATCAGCGTCGAAGCCATGTTCAAGATAGATAGAGCATTGGTCGATATTGTTGCCGTGTGGGAAAAGCAGAATCCGCCTGTAGGAGTGGAACGTCAGCATTCAGAGCAACGGCAGTTCCGGGATCAACTTGGGCGCACCATGGGAAGCCACCTGCTTGGAAAATAGGACCATGCTCCTTCTTATTCAAGCTTCGCCAGTCTTCGACAGTCCATGTGTATTCATAGTCTCCAAGTATTTTCGGTTCATCGATGAGGGGTGGGAGACAGAGCTCTCTCATGGCTTCATCTAGAGGCGTGACAGTTAGCCAAATAGTTCCAGGAAGGGTGGTCACGACAGAAAACATATGATGACTAGGGTCTGCACCAAATGTAAAGAGTCAATGGGATAGTGGAAGGAGTACGTACGGTCATTGGCCATGGGTAGATCTTGCAGCTGGTCGACTTCGCTTTGTTCGAGGTTATCGGGGTTAATGATGGCGACCTTCTCTGGCTCGTTGGCCACGCCGATATAATCATCCGTGTCCATGACCATGTCGTTGGGTGAGTTGATATCGTGAGTCTGCAGCAGATTGCGACGGTCAGCGTTGATTCCTGAGCGAAAGCACAGGCGGCGATGAAACGAGGTCATGATGTCGGCATCGGGAGTGACTGGGGTTAGTGTGGGTGGTGAGGGGCAGCTGGTAGGCTATTGGAGGTGATGATGTCTTCAGGACACTAGGTAGAGAAGTCTGTGCAATGCTTCATGTCAAGAAGATGTGGTAAGGTCAAATCGAAGTTGCATAATATGTGACGATCGCAGTGCCAGAAGGATGACGCAGCTGTGTTGATGGGACCGCACGAGTTGCTCTCCAGCGACCATGGCAGTCGCGGCAAGCTGCATGGAACAAGATTGCACGGGAAGGGACAGCAGCGACTGGAACGTACCATCTTGGAGAAGCTGCGACCGAGGCGGAAGTATCGGTGACGTTAAGGCAGGCACCCGAGAGAGTGGGTAAACCTCACGATATAAAGACGGGCGTAGCAGTAGCAGAACAGAGCAACTTAATCAATGCAAGCGCTTCAGCCAAAGCTCGACGATGTCGAGTGGCGCAAAGGGCAGGGAATAAGAGACCAAGTGCTGCCGCGAGCAAAAATAGTATTCTCCAAAAAAAGAGAGCTCGGAACTGGAGCGCAACGCAAGGCAGTGAATGCGATGCAAGGCAAGCAAGGCAGGGCAATGCTAGGTATGCTATGCTATGACGATCGGGGACGACGAGTTCTGCACTGTTAAAGAAAAAAGAGTAGAGCGGTCGGTTATGTCAGTAAAAGACAATGCCCACAACTCAGGTCCTAAGCCCCTAGACCTTTCAAATTCGAGGTCAAGTCAGGTCGCGTCTAAACAAAGAGAAGAGGCTGTAGTTTGGAGGATAAAACTAAACTGGGAGAAAGGAGTGTGAGGTGAGTGAGTGAGTGAGTTTGGATCCAATGCCTTGCATCGATAGGCAGAGAGAGCCAGTAGTAATCAATCATTCAGCGGGAACAAGAGTTGTGCGAGACTTCAGGCTTGACGAGAGTGGTGAGGCGATAGCTTGCAAATGTTGTCACGCGACTTGTTATTTGCGGGCAAACACACTATAAATGCTGTATTACTTTAACAAACGACAGCCACGCCAAGCGTCATCAGGTCACCCCGCCAATGACGTTGTCTCTCATAGCCAAAGGCTAAGTTTGAGTCTTTGTCAGATAAATCATGCCTACGGAGCACCTGAGGTCTTGATGGCTTGCACCTTCATTGAGGATGCATGCAACGAGTGAGCTGGCAAATATAGGCGGTCTGACGCAAGCTGGGATACATGTTCATTTGTGTTTTCCATATCGTTTTTCAGCTTTGCATACGGAGCTGATTGCTTTGGCTGACATGTTCATAGATCCATGTTATAAAGTTCTACCTTAGCTTGGGTAGTACTTTGAAGCAACAGTTTGAATTGACAAAGCGTGCGTCAGCATGCTTCCCCTAGAAAGGACAAACTTCGTAATTGATCAAACACGACTTTTTATTCCCCTTTACCCCATTTTTGGACAGATATTCAGACCATATGAAATACTCACGAGCCGTTACAGCTCATTGCCACAAGGAAACATCAGACGCCACAGCCACCTGAATAGACCCAGGAAGCTACCCTAAATTCTTACAACAAAACATGGAATGATGGGTTGTCATGGACATGACTCCTGTAAATAAATAGTCACATATCTCAAACAGCACCATCTCCAGCTTCACAGCTTGTGCTAAGCTTATCAGCCTCAGAACTCAGTCGTGACTGGGGTAAACCCGAACGGAAACCTCTCCTCCTTCCTGCAACCTACCATTCTGGGCGGGCCGGTATCGCCAACAAGATGTGGGGTAAAACTCCAATCCCGTTCCTGGGCAGCTGGTATCGAGTCACTCGCCCAAAGCTTCCTTCCCACCGAGACGGCGTATGCAGACTGTCCTCCTTTCCCTCCTACATATACCCTCCTCTTTCAAACGCAGAACATCGTCTGAAAGGACACTATATGCTTACGCCAACCGATTGGGCTTAATGAATCAGTCTATACTGACTTCGATTCATCCTCGCATGTGCCTGTGACGACATGCCACCCATCGCCCTGCGACAGAGCAGGCGATGTAAACTGACAGATCCGCGCCCTTACCTGGCGAATATTCCCCGTACCTCCTATACGAACGTTCAGTTTCGCGCTGGTACAAACGCATCATGGCGTCCTGTTTCAATTCTTGACGAGTATGTAATTTTCTTCTATGTATGCTGGTTGCAAAAGCTAACTCATGATGCCTTCAGCTGGGTCGCGAAAGAAGCTCGCCCTATCAGTCTCCGCCAGCTTATGGTTTTTGGCCGCTCTCTTACAGAATCTCGTTTGATAAGCTCGGCTAACTATGTTCGCACCGAATTGCCTACACGGTAAGTATTGAGAAGCTTCGCAGAGAATAAAGAGATCTGACATGTGATTAGAATTGCGCACCGAATCCGAGATATGCAACGCTTACCCTATGTCGTTACTACGAACTCCCATATTAAAGAGGTTTACGACCTATACTACCACGCCTTCGATACATTTCGCAAAGTGAAAGAGGTTAAAACACTGGAGGATAATGACAAGCTGTGCGAACTCATCAGCCATAATCTAAAGGGGCACTTGACTGTGATACCGAAGCTTGCTATGGGAATCCTAGAATGCGGTGGTCTCATGAGCCCTCAAGATCTGGATAGCTTCATGAACACCATTCTTAGATCTGTACGGTGCCCATTCTTACACGACTCTGGTGATTTACTGACATAGAGCAGCGCATTTCTAGACGTGTCATCGCTGAGCAGCATCTTTCACTGACAGAAACCTACAACTCCCCCAACTTCTCTCCCGGAGCAAAACTTTCCGAATCCGACTTCATCGGCGAAGTGTTTATCAAATGTTATGCTAAGGATGTTGTCGAGCGCTGTTCCAAAGCCATCACCATTCTTGCACGGACAACGAATGGCCCTGACGTCCAGATTCCCGAAATCACAGTTGATGGCCATCTCGATGCCTCTTTTCCTTACATTCTAAGTCATCTCGAGTACATCATTGGCGAGCTCCTCCGCAACTCTGTCCAGGCCGTCATTGATCGACATCAGAGGATCCATTCGGACCCTGACAGTGTGAAGCCTCCTCCCGTGGAGATAACCATCTGTGAGAACCAGCAACATGTTATCATCCGCATCTGCGACCGTGGTGGTGGTATCCCTCGTGCTGAACTGCCACATCTCTGGTCTTTCAGCAAGGGTCCGCAAAGTCAAAGGCGTCTCGAGAATCTTGCGCAGGTACCCAAGATGGCAGCAACGATGCAGGAGCTTCACGTAGAGGAGGAATTGGGGCGTGCAGATTTGAAAGCACCCCCATATCAAAGTTCGTTATCATCTCTCACCAGTCGGCCGCCTAACCTGCGTCTCGGCATGGGTTTACCTCTGAGCCGTGTCTATGCTGAGTATTGGGCTGGGAATCTTGACTTGCATAGCCTCGAGGGCTACGGAACGGATGTCTTCCTGCAGATTTCGCGACTTGGAAACAAGAACGAGCAACTGACGACGCGGGCTAGCATGGACGCCTTATAGCACTGGGGGTCTGTGGTAATGTCCTAGACGGAAAGACTGAGGTTGACTTGAAACCTGTGGCGATTTCAGTATTGTACTCAGAGGACACTGTATTTCTTTTTGGGTATGAATTCGGTCAGCTTGGCTTAGAGCATGGAGTTTGGTGGCTGTTTCTCCCGGTTCACGATTGGTTAATGGGACTGTTGCAACATCTCATGGATTATTGGGTAGCAGCCAGAGGGTTTATGCAATTGATTGAAACCTCCGAATCTCAAACTGGTATCATAAAATGGTGTGATTGAAATTACATCGAAACTAAAATGTGCCTAGCTGAGAGAAAGGGCTCTAGTAAAAGGTTGTAATAAAAAAAGGGCAAGACTATCAAGGCTTTCTCCATACGTCTTGTTCGCTTCAAAGGGGTCTCGTACTTGTGAGTATGAGTTGCCGGCATAGCAACCAAGAACAAACAAAATCATGGGGAGGGAATCATAACTCCTACACAACATGCCGCGGCCATGATAACAAGTCCCAGCAAGGGCAGCTCCTCCTTGACCTCCGTAGGGCAGAGCGAGCAGATGTATCCATGAACTCGTGGTCCCTCTCCTGTCTTCTTGTGGTATTCTTCGGACCTTTCATTTTTCAACTCCAAACCCCAAAACGGAGCTCCAGGTAAAAGAAACTTGAAGAAACGACTGTCCAACTGCAGCCAAGCAAGTGTGCATAAAGGCGTGCTCGAAATTGTTTAGCGGCGACCGTGGCTGCGGACAGCGCTGCCTTGCATCTGCTCCAGCTCTTGCTCGAGCTGCTTGATCTGAGCATGGGTTTGCTCGAGATCCTTGTTGAGACGGTCGCGCTCAGAGATGAGCTTCTGCTCCCATTGACGGAAACGTTGCTCCTCGATCTTGACCTGCTCGGTGAAACGCTTTCGGAGAGCCTCCTCCTCTTCCTTGAACTTGGGGTTGTCGAGCTTTCGGGGACGAGCCTCGCCGAACTTGCGGGTCTCCATCTGCTGAGCGCGGTAAGCCTCATAGTGCAACTCCTCGGTGGTGTGAATAAGGTCGAGCATGTGTGTTCGGATCAGGATAGAGCGGAGCTTCTTGAAATCGCAGTGGTCCTCATTCTCAACCTCGGCAACACCCCAAGAGTACTGTCGGCCCTTGACAATGCGGCCATCACCGGTCTTGACGTCCTTCTCGGAGCCGATAACAGCGAAAGGCATGGCGTTCATAAGGCTGCGGGCATGCTGAGCAGCAGCCTCATCGTCCTCCTCGATCGGGGGCTGGTAGATCTTGATGTTCTGGGCTTCGATGACAGAGACAATCTAGATAGAGTTAGAATTGGGGGCTGTGAACTCAATGCATAATTACTTACACGCTGCTTGAACTTGGCCAGGTCGGCGGGGCTGAGGGTGTCTGCCTTGGCGATAACGGGGATAAGGTTGACACGCGAGCAGAGGCGCTTCATGACCTCAATATCGAGAGGCTTGAGGGTGTGGCCGGTAGGGCGGATGAAGTAAAGGCAGGCATGGACACGAAGATCGATCTTGTCCTGGCGGCGGGGCTGTTGCTCCTGAAGCATGTAAGACTCGTGCTGGTCGTCGAGGAACTCGATAATGGGCATCCAAGAATCGCGGTTGTTAACGTAGTCGCCGAATCCGGGTGTATCGATAACGGTCAGTCGGACTGAAAGGGGGTGTTAGCAAGGGTTGAGTAACAGCGTGCTTCATTCAGGGAGCTATACCCTTGAAGAACTTCTCCTCAAGCTCGGCCTTGGTAATCTCGATCTCGACAGTCTTATCAACCTGCTTCTGGTGACGGCGCTTGTGGTCGGCATAGTTCTTGATGGTGGTGGAGAAAAGAGTGTTGATGAAGGTAGTCTTGCCCAGGCCAGACTCGCCAGCAACCTAGACATGATGCGGTGAGCAAAAGTTCAGAAGATCTCGATGTGCCTTGTTATGTATATATAGCAATGCAAAACGAGTGAGTTGATTGCTTAGAAGCATACCATAATAGTGAAACCGGCGCCACGCTTCGCGACAATCTTATGTCGCTGGTTGGGCAGATTGGCAATACCAATCGGTGAAGCGTTCTCGGCAGCTGCAGAAGCCATCTTGAAGTGGTTTGATTTGGAGATGGGAAGATAAAGGTTGAATTAGAAGAGGATGTAAAGCGTAAAACACGACTTTAAAACAAAGACAATGCAATGCAAGACAACAAGCGACTGCGATATCGCGATGAAGGTCGAACGAGTGCAAAGGTTCAAGGTGGAGAGGGAGGTTTAGGGACAGCTCGTGCTTGCCTGAGTTCAGGGGAATTGGAACGAATTTCCTGCCCTTTCCCCCTAAAGCAACTGCCAGGGACGCTTGCTTCTGATAGGCTAGCGTTGACACGGTACCGTGAGTGGACAGTGGCTAGTGGACACGGGGCAGCAAGGGAAACTGCCAAACAAAACGGGTCTTGCTTGCCATGGATGCAAGATCGAGTAAACAGCCACTGCCCCTAGCTTGCATTGGTCCCTTGAGCTATGGCCAGAAGCCAGTCGAAGGGAGTCAAAAAGAGTAGGTCCTTTATCCTAAGTGACAAAAAAGATGTAGGTAGCTTTAGTGTCTCTCGACATAGTTTAGTGTATGACTAGTGGATCTTAGACTAGATATTTTTGACACTTTGGCTTAACGTCAGACGTTTTCTTACTTTCAGAGGGGCCAGCCACAATGGAATTCTCATGGCAGATTATGGTCTCGGAATAACTCCACCGCCGACTGTCGCAAAAAAAATTGGCTCTTATCGATAAGGCGCAACGATGAATTTTTGGCTGGTTTGCGATTTGATGTTTAGAAGCATCATGGCTATGACCTGCAGACAATAATGAAGACCGATTTCAAGGTAAGAATGGCAATGGGATAATTCCGGCTTCGATACGATGTGCTGACCTATCGCTATAGTTCTCGAACTTGCTGGGCACTGTTTACTGCCAGGGCAACCTGCTCTATAGCCCCGATGGCACCCATCTTTTCTCGCCAGTCGGCAACAGAGTGACTGTCTTTAATCTGGTAGAGTAAGTTTGCTTTAAGCCGGTCTGAACTTCAAAAATGAAAGGGACAAAACTGATTGTCACTTAGAAACAAATCATACACCCTCCCGTTCGCTCATCGCAAAAACATTGCCCGTATCGGACTTACACCACGCGGCAACCTTCTCCTCTCCATTGACGAAGATGGACACGCGATCTTGACCAATGTCCCCCGAAGGATATCCATATACCACTTCTCCTTCCGATCTTCCGTCACAGCACTATCATTCTCGCCATCCGGTCGACATTTCGCCGTGGGACTGGGTCGCAAAATTGAGGTCTGGCACGTCCCCTCAACCCCCGATGCTTCTGCCGAGGGTGAACTCGAATTTGCTCCTTTCGTTCGATACCACACACATACCGGTCATTTCGATACCGTTAGCCACATTGAGTGGTCCAGCGACTCACGATTCTTCCTCACAACCTCCAAGGATCTCACAGCGCGGATATGGAGTTTGAACCCTGAGGAGGGTTTCACCCCCACGGTACTCTCAGGCCACAAACAGGCTGTTATCGGTGCTTGGTTCTCAGAAAATCAGGAGATAATTTACACTGTGAGCAAGGATGGCGCCGTCTTTGACTGGCAATATGTCAAGCCTATCAACCGTATTAAGGACGACGATAAGATGGATGATGACGATGATGATTCAGATATGCAATGGCGCATTGTCCAACGGCACTACTTCATGCAGGGAAGCGCTCATGTGCGATGTGCCGCTTTCCACCCTGAGACGAATCTCCTGGTTGCTGGTTTCTCCAACGGTCTGTTTGGCCTGTACGAGATGCCCGACTTCAACATGATACACAAGCTGAGCATCTCGCAAAACGATATCGACTTTGTCACCATCAACAAAAGTGGCGAGTGGTTGGCGTTTGGTGCGTCCAAGCTGGGACAATTACTGGTATGGGAGTGGCAGTCTGAATCTTACATCCTTAAACAGCAGGGCCATTTCGATGCCATGAACGCTCTGGTCTACTCACCTGACGGCCAGCGCATTATCACCACTGCTGACGACGGAAAGATTAAGGTCTGGGATATCCAGTCAGGCTTCTGTATAGTTACCTTCACTGAGCATACTAGCGGCGTTACGGCTTGCGAGTTTGCCAAGAAGGGTAATGTTCTCTTCACATCAAGTCTGGATGGATCTATTCGAGCCTGGGATTTGATCCGGTATCGAAACTTCCGAACTTTCACAGCACCCACGAGACTGTCATTCTCATGCATGGCTGTTGACCCCAGCGGCGAAGTCGTAGCTGCTGGATCTCTCGATTCCTTCGACATTCACATTTGGTCCGTCCAGACAGGCCAGCTTCTTGATCAGCTATCAGGCCACGAGGGCCCTGTCTCGTCTCTCGCATTCACACCCAATGGTGACTCACTTATTAGTGGTTCTTGGGACCGCACAGCCCGCATCTGGTCTATCTTTAGCCGGACACAGACCAGCGAGCCTCTGCAACTCCAGGCTGATGTTCTCGATATTGCTGTCCGTCCAGATTCTTTGCAACTTGCCATCTCAACATTAGATGGCCAGCTTACTTTCTGGTCGGTAACAGATGCAGAGCAAACTTCTGGAGTGGATGGACGAAGAGATGTTTCGGGAGGACGAAAACTCACAGATCGCCGAACCGCGGCCAATATGGCTGGCACAAAGAGCTTCAACACAATCCGATATAGCGCTGATGGCAGCTGTCTCTTGGCTGGCGGAAACAGCAAGTACATCTGCTTGTACTCCGTAACAACCATGGTGCTTCTGAAGAAGTACACTGTCAGCGTCAACCTTTCTCTCTCCGGTACCCAGGAATTCCTCAACAGTAAATTGTTGACTGAAGCCGGCCCTGCGGGAGACCTCGACGACCAGGAAGCTTCGGACCGTGAAGATCGCGTGGATAGTTCGTTGCCAGGATCAAAACGTGGTGATCCTTCAGCACGAAGGAAGGTCCCTGAGGTGCGTGTGACAGGTATTGGTTTCTCACCTGCAGGCACTGCATTCTGTGCTGCCTCTACGGAGGGTCTCTTGATCTACAGTTTGGATCAGGACATCCAGTTCGACCCTTTTGACCTGAACATGGAGATCACCCCTGCCTCAACACTCGCCGTTCTCGAGACAGAGCAAGACTACCTCAAGGCACTTGTCATGGCCTTCCGCCTCAACGAGGCTGGCCTGATCAAGCGAGTCTTCCAAGCCATCCCCTTCGCCGAAATTCCTCTCGTCGTTGCCGACCTCCCTACCGTTTATGTTTCTCGTCTTCTCCGCTTCGTCGCCGCCCAAACCGAGGAGTCACCCCACATTGAGTTCTGTCTCGTCTGGATCAAGGCTATCGTTGATAAGCACGGAGCTTGGCTCTCGGCAAACCGTGCCAAGGCCGATATTGAGCTAAGAGTCGTTGCGCGAGCTGTATCTAAGATGAGGGATGAGATTAGGAGACTTGCTGACGAAAACGTGTACATGGTTGATTACTTGTTGGGTCAAGCCGAGGATAAGTCTGCAAAAAAGGATGTCAAGACATTAGAGAGTGGCAAAGCTGTAGATGTGAAGCTTATGGATGTTGATGGGGATGAGCAGTCTGAAGCGGGATCCGATGAATGGATTGGTTTAGAATAGACGGTAAATACGATTCATAATACCCATGCATATCATACAAGCCTTTGCTCTTGGTTGTCTACATCTTAGCCTTGGGAATCTCCTCCCAAGCTTCATCGAACCCTGAAGATCTAACCCACATGGTACCTCCCTGCCTATCAGCTTCCTCATTGGCATCCAGCAACAGGTACACAGCCCTCAACCACTCGTCATCTCCCTTGATCCTCACCCACTCCTTGTTCTCATACGGCTTGGTAACTCTTTGCGCCAGCATCAGTGCCCTGGCCAACTTGACAGTGTGTCCATCATCCACAACCTTGTGAATCCTTGGGAATAGATCTTCTGGCTTACCCACCAGATTATCTCCATCCTTGGGCTTATAGCCACGGAGCAGATCGCCACGAAGAGCTGGCGAGCCACGAGCGATGTATTGCAGGAGATCCATGCGGATCTTGTTCTCCAAGAAGCGCGCTTTGGTTGGTGCTGGAATCCAGGACTGTTCTTTTAGCGTGAGAAAGAATGGCGTCGATGTTATGTGATGCCTGCCGCGGTTAGCAATGGGGCCAGTGTGGAAAGGAGAGACTTGCATGAGAATAAATTCGAATCTTGGAGCATGAGGTGGATGAAAAGAAGCAGCTGAAGCAACGAAAGCAGAATGATGGACCATCTCGGCAATCTTTTCGTCTAGCTCCTCCTCATCAATCCTCACTCTCGCCGCCAACGTGATCATCTCATCCTTCGCCCTCGTAAATACACCATCGAAGATCCGGTTGGAATCATCCCAATGCGAGCTTGTTCGAAGTTTGTCATTCTTTACGGCGTCTTCATAAAGGCCGCCAATGGTCTTCATCTTAGGTGGCGCATCGGAAGCTTGAGCCTTTTCAGCAGCGGCATTGAGAAACTCTTTATAATCGTCTCGATGAACAGCAGTCTGTGCAAGAGCTGAAGCGATGATCATGGGCTGTGACCACTCCATGCCATACAACAACTGAATAAGTGGGTGAAGGATACCGGCAAATAGACGGCTTTGCATGTCGCGGCTTCGAGCATCGTCTTTGAAGAGATACTCCTTAAGTGTGTTCTGCCATCCTATTCTTTCGATTTCGTCCTGGAAGAAACGAAAGAATGTTGCATAGTTTCTACCTTTGCCAAGATATTGTGACCAGTCCGAGCCGTGTTCTAGTTTATCAACGACATCGGGCTTTGGTTTCATGGCCTTAAGCTGGTATGTCTTGTTGGCGTTGTAGGCGGTGTCCAGGTCCTTTGTGGTTGCGCCGGTACCATATAAAGTTAATACTTGATGAACAATCTAATGCCGTTAGCGATGTATGAGAAACCTATGGAAGGCCATTTACATGGTCGTGAAAGCCAGACTCGTTGAAGAAGACATGGTGGTTCTAATCAGTGTTAGTCTTTGACTTGATAGTTGATACACAGTGTTGCTTCGGTTCGGGTTACCTCTAGATCCTTCTGCAGTAGGTCAGTTGCCTTTGAGGCCTCACTCTGGCCAAGCTCCATCCCTAAAAGCCCCGAGTTCTGGGGTTCCAGCTGAATCCTGAAAGGAGTCGCCATTGTTGAGTATCGTATTCTTGTAATAGGTCTGGCAAAGACTCTCAAACTCGATCTCGCCAACATGGAGGGGACTACAAGGTTTTTGAAAGTGACTACAGATAAGCACAGAAGAAGCGTAGCCCTTTTTGAAATGTTCAATATATGATGTATACTTGGGGTGACGATGATATCACATACAAAACAAAGGTGGGCTGACAAATGATGCAGACCAACACGAGATAATCGGATCTCGGATCTCGCACTTTGACTTTGAGCGGGGAGTTCTTGTGCAAGTCCGAATTAGTAACTCTTTGGAATCATTCGCTGAATTGACGTAGCCTCGTGTTTATTTATTTCCCGTTTATGACATTGACAGTCACAAAGAGGAAGCTAATTACCCCGGATTTCCATCACTTGACATCATCAGAGGGTGTCATGCCCCGCTCTTTTTACAACCTGTTAAAAGAGAGACATCACCAATTAATGAGTAACTAGGGTCAACCGTCTGATGAGGTTCATTCGCTTTTGCATAAGCGAAGTTACCTAGGTGAAGAATATACATCTTTTACTGATCAGGCCGTCCACTGGGTTTCAAGTAGACCATGGCAGAGTAATAAACAGCAGTGTGCAACCTATTTCACTTTGTCATCGAAGTATCACATAGAGACTCAAGAAACTGCTCAATAAATTCAATCCTTTTATTTCATTATCTACCGAAAACCCAATCGGTAGATCCATCCCATTTTCCTGATCCCATAACCGTTTTTCGAAGCCATCATTTCATCCGCGTGCCTTAGTCTATTCTTTACCAAGAGAAAAATTAGATCATCATGAAACCAAAAACAAACAAAAAATCATTGGACGGTTTAGGCCTTACGCTTCTTCAGGGCAGGGGCCTCATCGTCATCAGAGTCATCTTCATCCATCTCCTCGAACTCGAGGTCGCTGGGGATATCATCGGCCTCTTGGGCGTTGGCTAGTATTGCTTGTTAAACCTGAACTGTCTCTGCTTCGCGCTGTGAGAGGTACATACTGAAGTACTTGATGGCACCGGGCCACAGATCCTCGGCGATGAAGACGGCGAGATCGTCGGCGGTGGGGAAGATCTCATACTCGTACTCATCATCATCGTCGTCCTCGTCCATGTCATCATCATCCTCATCGTACTTGCCCTCCTTGCGGGCCTTGCGCTTCTCCTCCTCGAGCTTGCGGCCCTCCTCAGACTCCTCGGGGCTGACCTTGCGGCCGCGGAAGCCGAACCAGCAGAAGAAGCTGACACCGCCCATGCCAGTCTCCTCCATGAGCTTGAGGAGCTTCTTGGAGGCCTCGGTCTCACCGAGCTTCTCGCCAGCCTTCTCCTCATCATAGACCTTCTTGGCGAGGCTGAGCATGCCGTTGGTCAGGTCCTTGCCCTCCTTCCACTTGATGTCGACGGGCTCGGAGACGAGACCGGCCCAGCCGTCCTTGTGGAAGCGCCAGTAGAACTTCTTCTCAAGAACCTTGTCCTCAAACCAGTCGTTCTCCTTGAACTCCCACTTGAGGGAGATGGAGCGAGGGTCACCGTTGGGGAGCTCGAAGCGCTCAACGGAGAGGCCGGTCAGGGCGTTGAGGAGGAGCTCGGAGTCGCTGGGCTGGATGTACTCATCGACCTCGGGAGGGGACTGCTCGAAAACGAGGGGCCAGAACTGGGGGATGTTGGCGATGACCTCTTGGCGCTTGACGTAGAGGTCCTTGGTAAGCTTATCCTGCTGACGGACTGCTGCTGTTAGTAGAGTTTCTGCGATGCGAGACAGGGTCAAGAATTGACTTACGGATCTCGAGCTCAACATCCTCGAAGTCATCCTCGATGGCCTGGAGCTTCTCATAGGTGATGAGGGCCTCCTTGACCTGATCGTCGTGCATATCTCCGGCAGACATTTTGAACTTTAATTTGAAAGAATCAGGATGCATTCAAATCACTCGATATAAACGAGAGAAACTGAGGGGGTATCTTATAGTATAAAAGGACAGAAAAACGAAAAAATGTGAAAGATGTGAAAGAGGAGAGAGGGACGAGGAAGATCGGTGTAGAGGTGCTTTATTTATTTACTAAAAGCTCTGCCCGCACCCATTAAAAAAAATCTCATCTCGAGCTATGAAAGCTCCTCGGCGGTGAAAATCAACATTTTTTTTTCTCGAGGTGGGGTTGTCGCTGATGTCATTGGCTCCCGCGCCGAAGGACCCCTGTTTTTTCACGGTAATTTTTTTTTTTGCCTCTGCAGGTCCCCTAAAAACATTGCAGAAACGCCTGGCATTAGTGGTCCAGTTGTTGGCCTGCTCCACTGTAAATAGAAGCTCTGTGATTATTTACAGGGGTCAGAGGCTCCACTGCGGTGCAATCTTAGCGGGGTATCCTTGGCCGAGGGGCGTTTAATTGATTTCCATTTACGTATCGTAGTGGGATGAGGCGAGGTCTGAGCAGACGGGCATTGTTTGGCAATGTCAACACCAACGAATTTATCACAGGCGCCATCTGGTAGAATTCTATATAATTAAAAAGTACCAAACAAAGCACTGAGAAGTATTACTGAGTGAATTAATTTGCGTATACGCGCCTTTGATGGGTGGGGGCGTTGGCAACAAAACAAGTTCTTCAACATCTCGTTCGATGATTCAACATGGCAGTCACCATCAACTCTGGTATGAGCTGTGCTTCACTGCTGAAACAGGGAGTTTACAATGGCATCATCATCACCTGACAAGCGAATACACTCAGCTGATCAATATGACTCCTTCTCTTCTTTTCCGATGTCGTCCACGGGCTTCATCTTCACAGCATCACAAACTCTCACCTGCCATTCATCTCCATCTCCATCTGACCTGACAGTGTCCTCACAACAACAACAGCCAACCAACCATCTCAACTGACTCAAGATGCCGCCTCTGCCAGCTAAATACCCACGACAGATCCCTCTCGAGGTCACAGTCTATGGCCCCCACAACGCTCTCAGAGCCGCCAACTTTGGTGCTAAGCGTCTTCTCCTCTGCCGAAAGGGCTCCTCTACGGTTGGCGGAGTGACTCCCACCCCCCAGGAGCTCCGCCATCTCAAAAGAAAGATTCACATCCCAATCAGCTGCGTCATTCGACCCCGTGGAGCTCCTAACCCTTCTGGTCCAGGCGAGTCTCACGACTACGTTTACTCTAACAACGAACTTGTCCAGATGAGCGAGTCTATTCGCCAGCTCAAGGAAACAGGCGTCATGAATGCTATCCGCGGAGATTCTTTCGTGTTTGGATGTGTTAGGCGTAGCCATGAGGAAACAGCTGAGAACTCTCGCCACAAAATCGTGATTCACTCAGCATACTGTCGCTATCTCATTGAAATGGCCAAGCCATTCGGCTGTGTCTTCAACCGTGCTTTCGACCACTTTGCTGAACGTGGAAACCCAGAAGCTGTCATTGCAGAGCTCACCACTCTTGGCTTTGCAGGCATCATGACAGCGGGAGGACCAGGTTGCTTTTCCAACCACCTTGAGCGGCTAGATGCTATGTGCCAGCATACCACCAACATCCAACTCGTTGTCGCAGGGGGGGTTTGTTGCCCCGAGATCCAGAAGCTTCGAAAGCGTGCTCACAACCATGATCGTCTCTCCATTTGGATGAACGGCGATTGTCTTCGTCCCAGAGATCATGACGATCCAGAGACTACCGATATGAACGGCGTCATGTCGCTGATTGATCAGCTCGGCTTACAAACAACGGACTAGTTATCCCCTCATGACATCGGCAAGCAGATCTTCTACTGACTAGGGTGCATTCGAAGTTTGGCGAATGCCGGGTCATATCGCACGTGTATCATATGGGAAATGTTATGGAAGGAAAGGGTTATGAATTAATGATTTATGAGTGACGACTTAGAAAAAGTCTGGAATTGCCTCGGAATTCGCTATCAGCAAGAAAGCCCATGAGCCAAATCGGCATGGCCCCGAGGAAGATCACCAGAAATCTGTAACAATTAACAACCAGATATGCTCGCATTCGAAATGCGAATGAATAAAAATCTGTGAATATTCAAATGTGTATTGCTCATTGCTCGAAAGTTCCCCTTATTACACCTCGCAGCACTTGCATCTCTATCATCTACCAACTTATACATCACTCGTTCATCTCGTCGTAAGCCCACCACCGCCACCGGTTCATAATTTTCTAATAACCCTGCTTCTTGCCCTGAGCAAGACCGAGGCAGTTGGCAATCTTGTAAAAGATGTCAACGTTGTTGAAAGTGCCACTGAAAGTCTCCTGGCAAGGACCAAGAGCATAGACAGGGACATCGGTCAGAGAGTGAACACCCTGGGCGTTATCGGTGCTGATAGTACCGTTGATGAGGAAACCCTTGGGAGAGTCCTCGGGGTTGGCGTAGTAGTCATCGTCCTTGAGCTCGACGGCAGCCTCGCGGGGACCGGCCTTCTTGACCTTGTAGTCCTCACGGTGGTCAGGGACGGCAGCGACACCAGCGGCGATGGCGTATCGGGGCTCCCAGTTGGTAGGGAAGTTGGCGCCAGTGCCGTAGTTGATGCCCTTGGCCTTCTTGGTGTACTGAGACTCACCGGACTGAGCGTAGGTGCCGATGGCACGGCGCTTGTCACGGTCATCCTCCTGCTGGGCGAGGTACTCAGTGTCGGCGGAACCGTAAACGCTGCGATCGTTAGTTATCTGATGTCACGGCTATTGGAATAGGATAACTTACTCGAAACCGTGGCCGTGATCAGCTGAGACGATGATGAGGGTCTCATCAAGGATCTTGAGCTTCTTGAGCTTCTCAACAGTAGCACGGACAGTATCGTCAAGCTCGAGAAGATCACCCAGAGCACGGTCGTAGTCAAGAGCGTGCATCTGCTTGTCGATAGAGGCAGCCTCAGACATAAGGAAGAAACCCTTCTCCTTGCCACGAGTAGCAAGAACGTCAATGGCCTTGAGGGTCATGTCCTTGAGACCAGGGAGATCAGAAGCATCACCCTTACCGCCGGTAGGGTTGTTGTCGCGGCCCTCGAGGTTGTCCTTGTAAACATTGCGGTCGAGCCAGACGGGGAGATTGCTCTGGCAGAAAACACCGAGAGCACGCTTGCTCTTGTCGGCCTTTAGGAGAGAGGTCTTGTTAAGAGAGACGGTGTAGCCCTTCTTCTGGAACTCCTTGTAGTAGTCCTTGCCCTGGTAAGAGCCCTTACCGGCGAAGAAGTTCTCAGCACCGCCACCGAAGAAGACATCAGGGCCACCGTGCTGGGTCCAGCTGTAGTTGGTCATGCCGTTGAGAGCCTGGTCGATCAAAGGACCGTACTGGCCTCGGAGACGGGTGTGGCCACTGAGAGCAATGGGGGTAGCATCGGCAAGGAAAGCGGTAGAAACGGCGCCCCAAGCACCGCCCTATTGTTGCAATTAGAACTTTGAAGTGAACTCAATTGGGGTCAAACTTACCCAGACACGCTTGAAGACCTCAACAATGGTCTCAACCTTGGGGTCATCGAAGGGGTTGGGAGACGAATCAGCGTAGACACTGAGTTGTTAGCTTTTAATTTCAGTGATACAATAGTTTACTTACCCCATGGCGTTGACAGTGCTCTTGTGGCCGGTGTAAAGAGCAGAGGCGGAGTTGGCAGAGTCGGTGATGTAGCTGTCGATCGAATGGGTCATCTGGTGACCGAGCACAGGGAACTCGTCCAGCTTCATCAGAGTCTGGTACTTTCCGTTGATGCTCTTGTGTCCCAACAGACGAGCGGCAGTGATCTATGAATCTAGTCAGCTTCCACGAGCCGAGCCTCTCACATTGTGATTCGACTTACCATGTTGGTGGTCATGCCATCACCAATGAAGAAGATGACATTCTTGGCCTTTCGCTTAGGCTGAAGCTCGCGAACAGTCCACTCGGCAGTGGTCTTCTCGCCGTTGTAGTAGTTGAGGGTAACGGTGTACGTGCCAGGTTCGTAGAGGGCAATCTTGCGGTAGACCTTGGAAGCAACGTTGACAATGCTGGGCTTGTCCTCGTCTTCGGCAAATAGATCCTCGTACCACTTGAACTTCCATGTCTCGAGCTTGGGCTCACTAACACCAAAGGCCTTTGCAAAATCCTTGGCCTTTTGGCCCTTCTTGGCGATGGTCACGGTGAACTTCTCGTCAGGCTTTCCGTTGTGAGCAGCCTCAGAGCCATTGACGGGAGCGTGGACCTCGACACGGAGATCGAAGAGCTGGCCAGGCAGGAAATCACTCTGGTCGGGGGGGAGAACGCAGCCCAGAGTGGGACATGTGCCGAGACGCTGGTAGGTCTGAGCAGACACAGCAGCAATTGAGGCCGCAAGAGCGGCAATGGCATTGATTTTGACCATTCTTGTGAGTCTGAAACCAATTTCCAAGGATTTGGAAGCGGAAGCTGGTGGTTGTGGCGAGCTGAGGCAGCTTGAGAGGGGAGCTCGATAAGTTAGACTTTCAGAGAGGCATCATGGCTTTATAGCCGCCAACGCCGATCCCACGTGGATAGTTACCTCCCGGAAGACAAATTCGTCCCCGAGAAGCTATCCCATGTCGCGGATAGACAATTGGCCTTCCTCTGTGGGACAAGCTGAGGAGACTTATGATGAACTGATCTTGGCCTAACGTCGCATTGCATCTGGCCAATTAAGCTCGGGAAACGGCCAGGACAAACGACCGAGACAGGTTTAGATCGGCAAGAGAGAGTACGGGCAGATCCAGTGTGTTGGGATGAAAAAAGTACGTCTTCTGTGTTGCATCACGGAAGCGATTGGCGCCTCATGATGGAGGACTATAGCACGTGTGTAAGTTGTGCCAGGCCCGTTCCTTGCAAAAGGACCCTGCAACTAGTACTTATGCTTGTCAGTTCTCTTCTATGGAGCATCATGGATTCAAATCATTAGATTGGCAGCGGGGTGGGCGATGGACGCCGTTGGTGCTAGTCAAAACAGGTCAAATCATGATCCCTCATGTAACCCAGGTGCCATGATGAGCGTTGACATGTTGGTTGTACATATCTCCGATCCCCATCCCCCGATCCTTGGCTCGTCTTTTCCTGTCCCAAGTCGTTGACCGAACGTGAACGCCACATCCCGGCTCATGATATCCCAGCTCAGGTTCACCCGAGAGCACCAGTTGCAGCTGAGATCGGAGCAGAAAGACGACAGGGATCCTCGGCTGTGGCTCTCTCCAGAAGCTCAGATGCCGCTCGTGGGCGAATTGTGAGGTTCAATTGGCTCCTATACCCCTGCTCCCGCAGTTCCGCAGATCCCCAGATCCATGAGAGCAGGCCTTGGCTAGCTTCAATCAAGCTTAAAGCTTCATCCTTCTTATTCCACTTTGCAGACAAGCTTGTTTCTTAGCATAACTCGATCGGGCCTTGTCGGCCGAATTGCTACTTGACGTCGTACCAAGTCTCCGGTGGATTTCTCGGCGTAGGTGGCGTAACACTCTTACCACTGGCTCTTCGTTCATGAAATCTGCGTGCCTGGTGAGATAACAAGCCTATTGTGATGATTCAGTGGTATTCCAGCCTAAACTCTGTCAATCTCATCATACATTTAGGACGCCGTTGGCAAAGTTTATGAAAGCATCTGCATAGGGCACTGACTAGGGCATGAGCCCATGGCCTTAGTTCTTATAGGCAGGTATAAAAAATACGCACATTCTAGACTGTTGATGAAGATAAGATCAGCTGTGTAATTCCGCTCGGAGCTGCCTCATATGGCTCACCGAAACGTGCTCCAAATTCGGCATTGAGTGGCTAGACCTGCAATTTTACGAAGCTCGGCAATAAACTGTCATGGTCGTATGTTCATTGACTCTTGGGACTCTCTCGGCACGTGAACAGATCCTCTTCTTATCTTTTGTAGTGTTGTTGATTCATGAGAAAATCGGATGGACTGTCAGAATTGACTTTTTTTTTTTTGCTTCTATTCCGGCTCCAACAACCAAGCAAAATATGCACAATGCTCTATTCTATAAGTCAAGCAAGCCCACTATAGCCGTAATAAGATCGACGATGCGTTAAGTGGAATCGTGTTGATCAAACACCAGTCTGCCTGGCTATATCATCTCTTCTCTTGATCAGCATGCATCAAAGGTGGGCCGAGCCAGATCGTCGGAATAACATCTTCGCAGCGACCGTACCTGACATGACAGGAACGGCTTTCTACATTAGCTCCGTCACTTCTCCAAACTCGGTGCAACCTCATCGACGGGCAGTGTTCCATCGACAGCTGCCAGAGGTTCTGCAATGGCCTCGGGGTGGGGACTGGCATCGACCGAATCAAACGCTTGCCAGCTAGGCTCGTTGATCTTAGCCTGACCAGCTATGCTCTTGAAATGGTAACCCCTGGCTCGGGGTCTCACTCCAGTTCCAGCAGGGACCTCGGGCTCATAAACAGTCAAGAATTTCTTATGAAGGTCGTCAAACTTCTCGGCGCTCTCGTTTAGAGCTGCCCGAACCCCTTCAAAGAATGAAGTGAGAATGGCATGATTGTGAATCTGGAGTAGGTTCCAGCCCAACATCTCCTTCGCATTCAGTAGGTGCTTAATGAACGCCCGGTGATGCTTGGTGCAAGTGTAGCATTGGCAACCGCTCACTAGAGGCTGCAGGGATGTCGTATGCTCCTCTGACCACATATCGATGCCCAGTGGCTGCATGTCCGAGGACTCGGGGGGTGGGAAGGTGAACGATAGGGCGATGCCTGCATCAGAAGCAGTGTTGGCGAAAGGTACCGTGCAT